TATTTGTATATCTCTATGAACACAACCCGTAATGCAAACACGAACAATAACAATAATTCATTGCAGCAACACACAATTATTGTTTCATGTTGTATCTTCCATTTCGGTATCCGTGGAGCACGTGGCTGCTTGTTGATGGAACAAAAAATTTTAATTGTATTACGCTATTGGCGTTTCCCAAAGACTTTCCCAGTTTCATAGAAGCATGCGAAACATACTTCAACCAACACGTGAGGGACCAAGCAAAATGTTCGTGGCATTTTTCTAGTAGGTAGCGTGACTTTCGCACGACTAAACTTAGCAAGTTCCTAAATTACATTCGTGTCAGCTGGATATGCAAATCGCTATTTGGCGCCCTCCCGTGGGTGCGATCGTGTTGAAATATACCATATATTTTTGGTTTCGCTGCCAATACAATCAATAATCAAGCAAGTAATTTTCGATAGTGAAGCACAGATGTCCGCTGTAACAAAATATTCTTAACAATTGCAGAAAACATTACCAATTCTTAACATCGGTCAAATTTAAGTTTAGTACTCCATCAGTTGTTTGGGAGCAACAGCAATTTTAGAGGCAGTGATTTTAGCGACGGTACTACTGAGATTTTCAAAGTAATAGGAAAATTCGAATTTAGTTTTTTATCGGCAGTTTGCTAATCGATTTCATACGGCCACCGATGATGCTGATGCCAAAAAGAAATCGTTACACAAGAGGTTGAATTGAAAAAAGAATCCTGGAAATTATCCTCGAAGGTCGAAAACGAGAAGTCAGAAAGTCAGTCAGAAAAAGAAAATAGAGTCAACACTTAACATATCAAAATCGTCTTTCATTTTGTTCTCAAATTGAAAGGATGTTCAAAAAATTGAAAGGATGTTTGCCTACTTTAGCAATGGTCAAATGGCGTCCGTGTTACGGAATAGAAAGAAAAGAAATGCCGAAGAATTCTGTGCCCATGTGTACGCAAACGTTCATCTTCCTCGCTACGCTTTCAAGCAATCCATAGAATTTGGACTTAGTGCGTACACACGTCATTGAGCAGCAACAACAAAGTGAAAGCATGTCCGTTCTGTTATAAATCCTTGCGCAAATTTCACTATTCAGTGCACACATCGTTATCATAAGAAAATTACAACAATGTTGAATGAATTGTTATTACCCAGCATTTGCTTTCATTTAACAATTTAAGCAATGCGGATAGATACACTAAGGACATGGAACAGAAGCAGGAATGTTACGATTTTATATGCATATCCCACCTTTAAATTTGTCTTTCAATTTTTCACTCGTACAAATAATTTTGAAATTAAGTTAGTCTAATCAAAAGAAGAAACACCGTTAAGTAGGGTGAAACATATTGTTACGAAATTTTTTTCTTAATACAGTTCGTATCACTAGATTGTGGATTTTCGTTTTTATATACATTCAGTGTCTTTAAGGGTAGAATTATTTATAATTTATTTCGCCCATACTTGGACTGCCCGACTTTTCGACTCAAATTTTTTTTCACCTGACTCAGTCTGTTCAAACATTCTGTATTATGTAAGCAAGTTATCATAATTAGTGTGTTTTCCCGTAATCCGATTCCTTCCCACCGAATTTATTTTCTGGGAAAATCATTTAGTTAGAATAAAACTAGATTTGGCATTTCCGTAACAATATGATTATTGTTGTTAGCCAATAGTTATTAATTGTTGGCCGATGAAGTGAAAATCCACACGTGGAATAAAATAAATTAAATCAAAATTTTTAAACAACATACTTCGAGAGAGCCTTGTGTAGTGCGAAGGCCATTTAAAATTTGTGCTCAAGTCTAATATCCCGTCGTCAGCAGTACCGAACTCGAAGTAGGGGTCCCCCGTGGTTTAACAGGACAATTAAATATTACGAGAACAGAAAAAACACACTATTCAAAAAATATTCGAAAAGTGGGTCTTCCCTTGACTATTTCGCTTACTCCGTGCCAAGGCATAGATTTAACTCCCTCAACCACCATTATTACTACAGATACCTTCAGTCCTCTCTGTTTGCTAATCCTAAATACTTTTTTAAATTTGTTAATTCTAAAAGAAAAATTTCCACATATCCCTCGCATGTTTCTTTTAATGGCTCTGATTCCTCGGATGATTTTGAAATCTCAAATCTATTTGCTGAGTATTTCCGACGAAACCTCTCGATTGCCAATATCGATTTATCAGCAAACTACCCATATCCTATAACTAACTCGGTTTCAATTCCTAACTTGGTTATTCCGGAAGACAACGTTTTTAAAGGCTTGAGTTCTCTAATATAAAGACCTGGACCTGATGGAATTCCATCATGTGTACTTAAATCTTGCGGCGTCGAGTTATGACAAGATTTTTTACTTGTCCTTGAATTTAGGTGTTTTCCCTTCATGTTGGAAGAGTAGGTTCCTTATTTCTATCCACAAGAGTGGAAGTAGACAATTTGTTGAGAACTACAGAGGCATAGCCAAGTTGAGTGTCTTGCCCAAGTTGTTCGAGCGTATTGTGACTCAGCATTTGGCTTTGCCATTAATTCGTATGTTTGTCCGCACCAGCATGGTTTTCGGAAAGGGCGATCTACAGTCACCAACTTGTTAGAGTTTACTTGTCATGTTTTCAAGGCTTTTTCTAGTGGCTCTTGCACAGATGTAATAAACACTGATTTAAGCCAAGCGTTTGGTTTGGTTAACCATAACTTACTTATATTTAAACTCCAAGCCTCTGGCTTCCCTTTCTATTTAGTGAAATGGATATCTGCGCAATAGATCCTTCAGGGTTTTGTTTGACTTCATCACCTCGGATGAATTCCCCGTTATGTCAGGCGTACCTCAAGGAAGTCACTTAGGTCCCATTTTATTTAGTTTATACATTAATGATCTCCCATCGGTGGTTGATTCCAGCCAGATCTTAATGTATACTGATGATGTGAAACTATTTTCTTCCTTCTTTGTTGAATCGCAATCACATCAGCTTCAAGGTGATTTGGATAATTTTGTTGCATGGTGTTGGTGGAATCTTCTGAAACTAAATCTGAGTAAAAGTAAGAAGTTTTCTTTGTCAAGAAGGAAGTCATTCATTACTTAGTATTTCATTGAGGACGTCGATTCGTTCACAGATTTAGGCGTTCTATTTTACCATAGATTACGTTTTCACTTTCATATTGAGCTCTCGATAAGCAAAGCTAGGTCCGTGCTTGGTTTTACAAGAAGGTGGATCAAAGAGCTTGATGATCCCTACACTACGAAAAGGCTGTACATGTGTTTGGTTAGACCCAACTCGAGTATGCCTCTGTTGTGCGGTCTCCTTCATATAGGTGCTACGTAGATTCAATTGAATCTGTTCAAAAGCAATTCTTGCTGTTTGCCCCTAGAAATTTGGGTTGGGATCCGATTGCCTCTCTTTCCCCCTATGAAAATAGGTTGCTTCTGCTGTCCTTACCGTCTCTTGAGAAACGTAGGCTTGTTCTTGGCGTTTCCTTTGTAATCAAAGTAATAAATGGTGCTATTGACTCGCCTTCATTACTTGGTGAAAGAAGCTTTAATGTCCCTAACCGCTTCTCTAGGCACTTTATCTTGGTTAAGCTTAGTCAGTGTAAATATAATTATGAGCTGTTTAATCTGCTCAGAGTCGTTTGCAAAAACCTAAATGACGTCTATCTCTTATTCTCGTTATCGGACTCTTTAAAGTCCATTTAAGCAACATTGCTTAATATGCGCGATGTACCTATGTCGTACATAAACTAGCTTTTAACCTTAAAAAGTCGTTACGATTGGAAAATGAATTGTTGTTAACTATTATCGGTTGCCAGGCTTATGCATGTTTGCGATGGCTTTGCAATTTGATCCTGTGCCGGTTGTAAGTGTGGCTCTATGCTGGTTGTGTACATGCGTATTTTCTTTTTTCGTTTTTTTCCTTCTTATTTGTTTTATTGTACTTACACTAAGTTTTATTATTAATTAATATAAGTTTTGCATTAAGAGCCAATGAACTCGACTGTTAATTGTTTAGTTGAGTTTCGTGTATTAGTAGAACTAAAATAAATAAATAAATATGCACCGTTCAATTGCATTGATCGAGTTCATTCATAAGCGCGCAAGTGAGATAAAAACTTCGGGAAAATCGCTATAATAACTCAATACAGAAACATCGATTTGATATACGTTAATGTTTTGTAAATTATATATGCAATGCTTCCGATTTACTTTTGTAATTTGTATAAAGTTTTATCAATGAATAAATTATTACTATAAGTTATTATCGATTGTTTATCGACTTATTAAAATCATTGCAACATTGTTTTGAAAATGGTTGAAGAGTTTTCGAAATGAATCAATTAGTAGACATTGAATTTTGTTTGTTGTCAAAACTAGTAGTATCGTGGATGTCTATTAGAATTTCTACTAATTTTAATTTTATTTTTTTTTTTTTTTCTAAAGAATTGTGGTATATTTTTGAAAAGAATATTAGTGCATATAAAATAAAAAAAATATGGAAGAATCTGGACACAAGAAAAGCAAGGTACATAAGTATGATTCATCGATATCCACAACGGGTACTACCACGGCTTCTCCACCATATTCCGATAATATTGATAACTTAAAATGTGCTAATGCAAATTTAATTGATAACTCGGAGTCATCAGGTCAAGCTAAGGACGCGCTTCTAGACTTTCAAAAAATCCAAAATCTAAATTTTGAACGACACTCCAAGCGTTTAGAACCGTCTCCAAGCAAGATCTTACCATCAACACTGCCCTTAACCGACAAGAAATGTGAAACTATTGCACGTGCATCCGATTGTCAACTACGCGAGAAATCTTTATTGGATATGGGCTTCAAACCAAATGAAGTCGAAGGTTGGGAGAAGATAATGCAACCGCCGAAAGTTAACCTTTACAAATTGTTAAAGAATATGATTGATAATCATATCAAACCGAATGTACAAATTCGTATTGGCCGTGTTACCTTCAATTGTCACATGATGGTTTTGCAGTGCTATTCCGATTTCTTTATGGATTACAATAATGAGGTATTGATACAATTACCGGAAGAAAAGATTACGCCCACGGCTTTTGTAATGGTATACGATTGGATGTTAGCCGAAGAACCGTTAGTTCAGCGTGAGGGTATTTTAGAGCTATTTAATGCCGGAAATTTTTTACGTATCAAAGAGTTAATCAACCAATGTTGGCTGTGTTTGGATGATGATGCATGTTTTCGTGAAGACACTGCCTTGCTACTGTATTTGGAGGCACGTAAATATTGTTTAGAAAGTTTAGAGCAATTGATGTTGATGCGCATATGCAAATTCTTTTTGACGTTGGTCGCTTCTAAAGAATTTCTAATATTATCAGCTAGAGAAGTGTGCACTTTGCTGTCATCGAACACAATTGGAGTCAATTCTGAAACTGAGATTTTCATGTCTGTTGTACGTTGGTTAAGTCATAATTGGGAGGAAAGAAAATGTCATATGTTAGATCTTATTAGACGCGTACGATTTAGTCTAATGCCACCATGGTTCTTAGTAACGTTAACGAAAAATCCTGAATGCCCGGAAATCGAACATATTGTAAACCATGCTGAAGTTAGAAATATGATCAATGACGGCATAACATATACCACTACTCAATCCTATTACAGAGAAAACCGTGAGGATTTTCTTAAATTTTTAGAGCGTTTTCAACTCTTAACCCCTATGCAACGCCAATGGGTCTTTGATAAAGAATGCAACTATCATCATCGTCTTGAGTGCCCTAATCTGCAGTACGTTACTTATAAATCGTTTTTGGAATATTTGGAAATGATAATATCCATTGGTAAAGATTATTGGCGCAACCTCGAAATGGCGAAAGGAACTGAGAAGAATATGCAGTGCTGCGTACCCTCGGATTGCCGTAAGCCGGCAGATCCAAACTTGGTATGTTGAAAAGATTCCTCCAAAAAAAAGCTTTGTTGTTTCGTACCAAATCAATGCAATGTAATTAATTGTACTTAATTTGATTCCTAAAAAAATATCTAGTGGCTATATCTGCGTAGTGTAAAATAAATTGCTTATCTATTGTGTATATGTATATATTCTCAAGCTAGGGCAATCTCCTCTTTTAAAATATTAGTTCCGACTGAAAACAGTGATATGTTGTTAAATAAATCACTGTGGCCGGTAGGATCCTTAATTAAGGAATTTATCCCTCGTGATCGTCCCCGTAATACCAAGGCAATAGTCTTGTCGCCTTCAAAAAACTAATTGTTTCTTTAGGCCCACTATCTCTCATTTATCAAAATGTTAGGGGCCTAAATTCGAAAATTCGTTCCACTTTTCTAAATTCAGTGAGCACGGAATTTTTCTGTTTGGCCTTTACTGAAACCTGGCTAAAACCCGATCTACATTCGTCGGAACTTTTTCATAATTCTTTCCAAGTGTTTAGAAATGATCGAGTAAATCGCATTGGTGGTGGTGTATTAATTGCCATATCTGCGTCAGTCCCGTCCAATTTAATTGAATTTCCCACTTCTCCTGACGTTGAATTTATCGCTATTCGTGCGAATATGCCTGATAAACATCTATTCATAACCTGCTCCTATATTCCCCCCAAATTCTGATATCTCCATTTACGGGAAACACGCTGCCCTCATTTGTGAAGTGGCCAAGCGGTCTAGACCCACCGATTTGGTCGTTGCATTGGGTGACTTCAATTTGCCTCAAGTCACTTGGTGTAACACTGATAATTCTGGCTGTTTGGTTCCTACTTCAACGTCTGATAGGGCTGTTGTGTTCTTTAATGAATTGTTTGATCATAATTTGGGTCAATATAATCGTATCCCTAATTGTAATGGTAGACTGCTTGATCTCTGCTTTGCCAATTTTCCCGAGATTTACGTAAATCGTTGCCCACCTTTTAGTTTACCTGAGGATCCTTATCATCCATCAATATGCATTTCCTTTCATCATATTAATGATGGTTTGTTGGAATGCCTTAATGTGCCAACTCAAACTTGTTTAAATAATTATTATGATTTTCATAAAATCAATATTGTATTACTAAAACATCGTCTTTCACATCTGACGCTTGATTTCTCAACCGGTAGTATTGAAAACTTAATGCCATCGTTCTACAATACATTAAATCTAGCTATTGCTGCATCTGTTCCGATCAAGCATTGTCGACCTCGAAGCAGATGTCCCCCGTGGTTTAATAAGACAATTAAATATCACAAGAATAGAAAAAACTCGCTATTCAAAAAATATTCGAAAAGTGGCTCTGCGCTCGACTATGTCGCTTACTCGGTGGCGAGGCATAGATTTAACTCCCTCAACCATCATTATTACTGCAGATACCTTCAGTTCATTAAATCCTCTCTGTTTGCTAATCCAAAATTCTTCTTTAAATTTGTTAACTCTAAAAGAAAAATTTCCACATATCCCTCTCATGTTTCTTTTAATGGCTCTGGTTCCTCGGATGATTTTGAAATCTCAAATCTATTTGCTGAGTATTTCCGACGAAACTTTTCGATTGCTAATTTTGAGTTATCAGCAAACTACCCATATCCTATAACTAACTCGGTTTCAATTCCTAACTTGGTTATTCCGGAAGACAACGTTTTTAAAGGCTTGAGTTCTCTAATATAAAGACCTGGACCTGATGGAATTCCATCATGTGTACTTAAATCTTGCGGCGTCGAGTTATGACAAGATTTTTTACTTGTCCTTGAATTTAGGTGTTTTCCCTTCATGTTGGAAGAGTAGGTTCCTTATTTCTATCCACAAGAGTGGAAGTAGACAATTTGTTGAGAACTACAGAGGCATAGCCAAGTTGAGTGTCTTGCCCAAGTTGTTCGAGCGTATTGTGACTCAGCATTTGGCTTTGCCATTAATTCGTATGTTTGTCCGCACCAGTATGGTTTTCGGAAAGGGCGAACTACAGTCACCAACTTGTCAGAGTTTACCTGTCATATTTTCAAGGCTTTTTCTAGTGGCTCTTGCA